TTTTTTAAAAAAGATTTTCTTATCATGGCCACTTTTATTTGTCATTGACACATGTACTATACAGTATATGAATTCACATGAGACTTTCTCGGTCACATACTGTATTTCAGTAGACAACCGTAACGTGCCACGCAAGTGTATTTGTCAACTCACAGCAGACAGAAAGGGCAAAATCCATTATGGACAAGCTTAAACCTGTTCCTCAGGTTTTGTTTGAAGCTGTTGATTTGGAAATTGAAAACTCTATACATTAGGGGACGTGTGGGATTAAGACAGAACATGCTTCTTAAAGCAAGTGTAAGAAAGAATGATATGAGGAGTCACTTACCAGCGAGATCTTTGCTGTCATCCTCGTGCTCTGCTGGCTGCAGCGAGGGTCTGGTGACCCCTGGTATGTGGGGGAGGCAGCAGGGTGGGGTGCGTGCGATCGGCGAGTTTCGACATTCCAAGAGAAACTTTCGATCATAGATGATCCGAGATCCTGCAGGGAAAATATCAATATTAGTTTAAGAGGTTCAGCCTCACAAAAAGTTGGCACAAGTTCATAGCATTTTTGCTTCAAGGGACTTTCTTCCTGCTGAGTTCTGCTCTATGTAAGAACTCAGAAAAACATGTTGTGTCACCCAAGTGAAAGCCTGTAGTGTAGTTTAGCTCATGTTGGAGTAATGGAAACAGGGTGAAGAGCTGACTGGGGTGCTTTCTAAATGCATGAGGCAAAATCACTCAAGGTGCCCCTGTTTAGATGTCCTGTAGTAACCCAAAAACGTAGCAACATCACCCATTACTGCATAAGGACCCAGTGTGATTGGACTGACTGAGGTCTGGCTCAATTAAGAATATCTAAAAACGTGAATTGAAATAAGGATAAGAAATGAGTTTTTCGATATGACTTTCTTTTTAATTCAATATGATTTGTGCTACATGTCCTCTGGTCATTCAAATGCGAGATCAAAACAGCGAGTCAAAGCAGAACCGTTTTTTATGGATAAATGTGCAATGATTGATAGAACAGCCACTGGCTTGGTTTCAAAAACTGAAGCAAGTCATATTTCTACATGTGAGCTTTAATAACCATGTGATCAATATTGACAGTTGAGGTGGTAGATGGATTTTGTATATAGGTGTTTATTTTAAAATAAGTTACGTTGATATTAACTACAAGTTAAATTTTTTCTTCTTTTTCAATGTGAACGTTTACTATTTTTAAAAGAGCTTTATTAATTATTGTTATATACAGATTTTTATTGTTTTAGGTTTGCCCCAGAGCCAGACCATCATGTTTTTTTTTTTTTTAAATCCATAAAAACATGAATTACGTTTTTATATTTGATCTAATAATATGACAAACTACACCGTGATATAAACAATTTCAGTATTTATAGCTAAATATATATTTGTAACGTTACTCGTCTAATTTAACAGTGCGAACAAGGTGAAAGCGAAAATATTTTGAGTGTATTTGCAAAGCGTATTAACCTTGCATACATAATGTGAGATGTGGTGGAAACGACATTAAAACATTCATGGCTTTTTCAGAAAAAAAAATAATAATACAAAATTTCAAATTACAGAATTCTCCTGTGATGCACGTGCGTACACTTTCGGACTTTGTTAGCAGACAAATTAAACTAGTTAAAGTGTTAAATTAATTTTGTGCAAGTCCACTGGGCCAAATGTGCGCTTGATTAAAACAAACACACTTTTAAACGCAACTGCCAATGGAAAGAGTAAGAATTGTTTAAAAGGCAACCGGCCGCTTGTAAACATCTTATTGCCTCTGGCTTTATATGATTGCGCAGTGCAAACGATCAACTCACTAAACATAAAAAAGTGTAACGTGGAAAAACTCGCATGCAAAAAACATCACTAGTTATGAAATACATTCTGCGATTAAAAATAAATACACTAGGTCATCTCACCCCCGGGAGTTGTTGAAAACAGAGTTCCTCCAGGAGTTTGACTGTAGCTGTCAGGGAGCGGAGGCCAGCTGGAGCGACTTGGGATCGGGCAGGTCGACGAAGCTTCGCAGCTGCTTGACATGATGAACCTAAATCGAAGCTCGGGACTTGAACCAACACACGCTAAGGTTTTGGCCGATCTGCTGCAGCGCTGCGCGTCTCTGCGCTCCACATGTTGGAAAGCTCGAGGGAGGAGATTTGTCACGTGCTGCAAACCTTGAACTCTGGCCAATCGGAAAGACGATTCCACCACTGACGCGCAGTGCTGAGGCCTTCTATGGGAGCAAGTGTTTTGAGCCAGTTCATGGAATGTAAACTCTCCGAAAAGCACGAGGTTTTCAGAGTGATTCAGTTGGGCACATGATATGAACTCTACGATAAGATGTATAATAATAATAATTTATGCATTTAGCAGACGCTTTTATCCAAAGCGACTTACAGTGCATTCAGGCTATACATTTTTTTACCAGTATGTGTGTTCCCTGGGAATTGAACCCACGACCTTTTGCGCAGCTAACGCAATGCAAATATATCTTATACTATAATATAATAATATAAGATATAACAATACAAACCCCAATCTACCGCTCTGGATGACCTATCCAGTATAAATATGCCTCCCCATATTTACAGTATCTTGGCATTTCATGCAGGACTAGTTCTACATCCCAAGTCTTTTTTTGTCTTACAAAAACTTACTGGTTAGGTCACCAGATTTTCAGAACATAGACATTTTTTAAAAAATGTGAAAAGTTACACAATATTAGTTACATAATACAGAATATTTGTCTAGTTTGTAGTGCTTTATTTTATACAGTTGTCCATGAATGGACAACTTGGATTGTGAATAGTTGCCCATGTAAAAACAAATCAAAATAACACACCGAATACATTTCCAACTTTTTATTGAATATTAAGGTAAATATTTCACATTAATACAGGCTACATAAAGTAGAGCCACTATACGACATGAAATTTACTCTCATTTTTAACCCTTTTTCAGTATGTAAACAATTATACAGGTATTTACCACTCTAAAAGGTCTGATTTCATTCTTTACGCAATCATCTAGGTCTTGGCCAAGTATAAATAGCGCACTGTCCTATTGAGCCCTGCCGACCAAGAACACTTTTACGTGGGGCTTAAATGTCAAAATGGCTATACTACTCAGAATGTATCCTGTTGAACAGGCAATCGATTTGTTCATAGACAGTGGTAAACACATTAAATCCCACACTAGATTCTTTCTTTTTAGTTAGGCACATCGAGGGTGTCCATCTCTCAAATTTAACTTGTTTAACATTTTTTGGGGGACACATCTAGGTTAATACCACGTCTCAGTAATTAGGTAATTATCTTGTGTTTCTTGTTACTGCTCCTAGGCCTCTCGAACTGTTTAGTTGACATGATTCAGATGCACATTTCCCACATGTGGAGCCCAAGTGCCGGGCCATACCTGCAACAACAAGAATTCAAAGAGTTAGATGGCAAAAGGAGCTGTAATTTACAAACACTTTCAGCTGGGGTCGACTAAGAGAAAATCACCTGCTGTGGGTCTGAATTCTCAGCAGTGTTGGGAACAACCTTTAGGATGGGATTCCAGGCGGGGTCAGAAGTGTGAAGACCATTGTATACAGGGCCTCCAGGACCCTCCGCCATCTGCGGGTGAGGGGGGATCATCGCGCCACCGTACATTGACATTGGCAGCCCCTACACAGCACACCATAAAACCAAACATTTGTGAGTAGATCTACAAATTCAAATTCCCCATTTAACTAATAAAACAACCAAAACGTTTATGCAAATAATAAAAAATATATAACAATAGAAATTATATTTTTGAAGAGTCACTGTACAGTACGTACCTTTGGAAAATCCATGAAGTTGGTGGGCAGAGGTTGGTGGAAAGTGTTAGAAGGAGCAACAATCCCAGTATCATCTCGTTCCATAGCCTGGTGCTGAGAGAAGGCTGAAGGCTCCTGCATCTGCTGGTGCATCACTGGCCCTCCCATCAGGGGCTGAGACCAGCCTGACATTGTTTCTGTGAAGAACAGAGACAGATATTTTTTATTCATCAGGCATGTGATCAGCTAGAGACAAAAAAAGAAGGAAAATCTGACCACACCCCAAATCACGCCCCCAGAACTTATTAAAAATATATATTAGCACATTAAAAGATACAGTATATCTTATATTGTAATACATACTACTGTCCTGTAAAAAACAGAAAGCAATATTTAATAATCATGATAACAATATAATATATTATAATAAAGTACTATAATATATTATAGTAAAGTATATAGAATTGCTATTATTATTAAAGTACCTGCCAAAAGTTTGGAAACATTACAATTAATAATGATTTTGAAATGAATATCTTCTGCTCATAAAGGCTGAATTTATTTGATCAAAATAAAGAAAAAAAAAACAACAACACAGCAATATTGTGAAATTTCAAATAAAAAAAAAGTTTTTAATATATTATAAAATGTAATGTTATTCCTCTGATGCAAAGCAGAATTTTCTTCATCATTACTCCAGTTTTCAGTGTCACATGATCTTTTTAGAAATCATTACAATTTATTTGACTCAAGAAATATTTCTGATTATTATCAATGTTGAAAACAATTTTGCTGCTTCATATTTTGTGGAAATTGGTATACACTATATTTATCAAAAAATCCTGAAGAATACAAAGTTTAATGAACAGCATTTATTTGCATTTATCAAATATGTTAATTAAATTTGTTAATGCATTTATTAAATAGAAATAATTTTAAATGTCTTCACTCACTTTTTTTATCACTTTCATGCATGAATAAAATTATTAATTTCTCCCTCTTTTTTAAATCTTATACAAATGTTTGAGTGGTATCATTGTTTCCACAAAAATATTAAGCAGCAAAACTGTTTTTAACATTGATAATAATCAGAAATGTTTCTTGAGCAGCAAATCAGCATATTAGAATGATTTCTGAAGGATTATGTGACACTGAAACTTGTCTTTGTAAACAACAACAGATTTATAAAAGTTTCTAATGATGAATGTTGCATTCCCAAATGCAATTTAAAGCAACTTAAACCAAGCGCACAGCGCAGCTAGCACTAAAGGTGAATCGAAACTAAAAACAGTACTGTAACAGCAGACATGTAGTGCGTCAGACTACAGCCTATTATATAATTACATCACAACCGCTGCAAATTTTATGATGACACTAGCAATCTCAAATTCTCACTGCCATTCATAAAAAGTCACCGGTCGAGTAAGGAGTTTCAGCACTGATTCTACTCGCATTTGGCGCTTAGAATCATTTGAATGCTTTGAACTGTCCTGCAGATGGCGCTGTGAGCTCGTGCAGCGCTCTCAGGACCAATCCGTCCATGATGTTTTAGAAAATCTTTTCACAGTTTATTTAGGTAATAGCTTAAGAAAAGGCATGGGCCGGTATGAGATTTTGACGGTATAATCTTAAGCAAAAATATCACGGTTTCACGGTATTGTTGTTACAGCTCTAAAATGATATGCATTGCAACGCAGTTTGTGCAAGTCCAGAACAGAGATCGGCTGCAATAAAACAATAAACGGCCGGTTGCCGATCGCGTAAGTTCCAGAGGAAGCTCCTTCGGCCATCATACACACACGTGACTGACCGCTCGCTCGCACCAACAGGAGGGGGAGGGGGCGTGTTACTCTCTACACTGCACTCAACCTGAAGGGATTCCTACACTTTCAGTCTTTGAAGAGACATGAAAAACAGCACATACCGCAGGAACGGTATAACGTAAAATATTAGCGGTTTTGAAACCGTGAAATTTTCAAATCGCGGTATACCTTGAAACCGGTAATTGGCCCATGCCTACTTAAGAATCACATGGGTCGTCCCTCAGAGGTCGGAAAATATGGAAATCCGTATTTATACAGAAAAATCACATCCCTGATTCGTTTCAAAACCCAACTCTTCACATTTAATGCAATGAAAAGCAACTGTCACTGCATATGCAAATATGTTTATTTCACAACATTTAGAACAATTCGTAAATGCTGATATCACAGACTCACCGGAGGCACTGCCCACTCCAAAAGACCAGATGCCACCCTGTCCAACTGGTGGGGTATAGCTGGTGGGCAGCATGGTGTGGTTGACGGTGCCAGTTTGCCGGATACGGGCCAGGCGCTCTGTTCCAATTGGAGGGGGCACTTTACGGTCCTGCTGGTTGGAGCTACTAGGTTTTGCCTGGATCAGAGCGGGAGTCACTGTAGACGTGCAAAGAGGCGAGGATGCCCCGGAAGACACGGAGGGCACTGGAGACTCACCTAAAAACAAAGAGAAATGAAGAGACCGTCAGAAAGAACACAAGCGATATGGTCTTATAAAAAGTAATGTGTTCCATGGTGCATCTGCATCATAAAGGCTTACAAGAGGTGGAGGCACTCCAGGGATGGGGAGAGAAGTGCTGGCGGCTGAAGGAGGGTGTGCCCACAGGAACAGGACCTGGTAGGAACACAGGGCTGGCAGATATGCTTGTGGTAAAGCTGGGGAGCGCAGTGGACGAGGACATAGAGTTGTCCATGGGGTGTATACCTGTGATACAGAGTGAACATAAAAGGATTGACCCCAATCACAAAACAAAGAAGCAAGAACATCAGCAATAATGCATGTTATTTAAAGCAGGGGTGTCCAGTCCTGTTCCTGAAGGGCCACGTTCCTACATAGATTAGTGGTGCGTTCAAGTCATGTCGGATAGATCGTATCGTATTTACGAATTGAACGCACATGAACGCCACCACATTATATATATTAATATTACGAGTGTGGAAACTTGAAATTTTCTTTAAGCCACGAGTTTCCAAGTTGGGGGCGTCAGTGAAAAAAATGTGTCTGATGCAATGGACGCAGCCAAAAACTATAGATATGCAGCATCTGTATTGACAGTAAATTTGTTGAAATGAATAAAATTATTTTTTGTAATGTACAATAAAACTATATGTTACATTTACAAAATAGTATATTATTGTATAAATACCATAGAATATATAATGATTCAGTTTACATCACCTTCATAAATTGAATAAAAACAGAAAAAAGCAAAAACACGATGTACATTATTTATTCATCATGTTGTAGAGTAAAAAAATCATTGAATTTTATGTAGAAAAGTTCAATGTTGTTCCGACCAAAGCGACTTGAACACA